CCCAAGCTGCCAGGCAATGATTGATCACATTAGACACTTTTTCACCTGTTTCTGCTGTTGCAAATATGACGTGAGAACAGGTGTCTGTGGAAACATGAACATATTTAAGAGTCCCAAACTCCTGTATATGTGTGATGTCCATCTGCCAAACATCACCAGGGATCAAACCTCGAGGGTTTACTCCCATCGGTATGGCAGGTTTGTATGTGGCACAGGAGTCACATAGTCGCACGGTATCTCGTGTATCTGCTCTGGACCAGGACTGAGGGATGGCTGAGAGAGCTGGCAGCCCCCTCTGGACCGCCCCCAGGGACTGCATCTGCGCGTTGACCGCCCTTAGATCATGGAGCAGCCTCCACTTGCCAGACCTTTTTTTAATTATAAAAATGGGGGTGTTCCATGGGGAGGTTGACGGCTTAATATGTCCTAATCTAAGTTGTGTACTGACTATTTTTGACAAGGCTAATAGCTTCTCCTTAGGCAGGGGCCACTGAGGTACCCAAACCGGATCATTTGATTTTTAGGTGATTTTGATCGAAGTGGGTAGGAGAGCTTCTTTAGCGGCCCCTAAGAAAAACCCAATCCTTGCCTACCTTTTTTGTTCTCTACTGGTATTGGGGATGTCCGACCCTGCAGGGCATTGCCCAAGCCTTTGCCGGGGGTATATCCCTGGTTCTTGAGTATATCCTTAGCCTGGGGGGAGCAGTTTGACGTAAGCGTGACATCTATCTGAGTGAGGATGTCCCTTTTCCATAGAGACACTGGCAACTGTAACACAAATGGTTGGAAATGGCCCTGATGACCCTCCTCATCGCACCAGAGCAGGGTTGAAGCACTAACCTGAGGAGCTGACACCATCCCCAGACCCTGCAACGTGTTATCTGCAGTGTTGGTGGGCCAGTTGGAAGGCCAATCCTTTCTGGAGATAATGGAACGGTCAGCTCCTGTGTCTAGGAGCCCTGTTATATACTTGTCATTGACCTTAAGTGAGAGCATGGGCCTTTTACCAAGTGTCATATGGAGTCCCTCAAAGACTTCCCCTGAGGAACCAAAACCTTGACTTTCTCTAATTTTCTGCTTTGAGGGAAATCTCTTGTGGAGACTGGGGAGCAGCAAGAGCTGCGCTATCTTGTCTCTTTTATTGATTACCATAGTACCCACAAGAGATTGAACCATAATTTTAATATGTCCTGTGTAGTCTGAGTCTATGACCCCCGGGACTACTGTGAGACCCCGAAGGGCCGTGGAGGATCTCCCGATCACCAGACCCACGGAATTTTTGGGTAACGGTCCCTTAAAGGTGGTTTTAACCAATTGAACACCCATATCAGGCACTAATATAAGTCCGGAGGCGACACTGAGGTCCACACCTGCTGACCCAGGGGTGGCCCTTGTTGAAGGCTGCCACCCTGAGCTGTCCTGTCTCTGGGGCGGGGGCCCGCCTGTGAAGGGGGCCCCCTCTGGCCGTTTTTTGGCTCTCTAGCATCTTGTCCACAAATACGGTTGCCTTGAGCATCAAAGACCGACCTACACTCCTCAGCTTTGTGTGATCCCTTCTTGCATCGCCCACAAACATATGGCTCTTCATTCCTAGGACAGGGCCTAGCATCTGCATTGTTTGGGCAGTGACGTTTAATGTGTCCTGGCTCCCCGCGGGCAAAACACCCTTTAGCCTTACATTCCCCTCCTGACCCGCGAGGTCCCCTCTGCTGTACAGCCGCGGCCAGGAGAGCAGCCACTCCCGAGTTGGAGAGCGGCCCCCCTATCTCTCTGCATATCCTAATCCAGGCGTTGAGGTCCTTGTTCTTATGAGGAGCTATCGCTGCCTTGCACTCCTTTGTACATTGCTCGAAAATCAGCTGCCTTACCAGCGGTCGAGCCACTCCCGGATCAGAAAATATCTTATCGGCAGCATCTTGCATTCGGGCCACAAAGTCAACAAATGGCTCTGTGGTACCCTGAATTATTTTTGAAAGACACAAGGAGGCTGTTCCGGCACCACTTACTTGCTTCCAGGCGCGGAGCCCTATGGCATTGATTTGTTCATAGACAGCGCCGGGGAACTGAGTCTGATCATCAGCGTGCCGACCTTCTCCCATAAGCATTTCTTTGTTCCACCCCCGGTTTCCCCGATTGGCGTTTCTCTCAGCCTGCTCTGCAGAGAACTCTGCGTACCAGGATCGCCAATCCAGGTAACTACCCGAGGGCAGACACGCCTTTGCCAGCTGAATCCAGTCCGCGGGGGTGAGGGGCCCAGAAGACAGGTTCTCCAGCATGGCAATGGTGTAAGGCGCAGTTGGCCCAAAGGTTGTAACTGCATTCTTAAGTTCTCTAATCTGCTTTATCTCAAAAGGCTCCCATACATTGTGTCCCTGGCCCATAGCTACTTGTACAGGAAATATCCCGTAGGGGTCACTATCTATCCCAGGTGGATGTACCTCATGAGACAAGCGTCCCCCCTGCCAAAGCCGCCTGTAAAAATACCGACCCGCCGGCGGCGGAGCATAAGACGGCGGCCGTGATTGGGCGGAAAATGGGGGCCCGTGTATCACTTCCTGTTCTGGCGAAAGGGGAGGGAGCTCCCAGGCGGCCGCCTCGTGGCGAGGGACCGCCTCCGAGAACGGCCCCCAAGGTGGGGCGGAAGGCTTCGCCTCCCTCTCGCGCCGGGGAGTGCTCAGGAGCTCTCTACTCCTCCGCAGACCAGGTTAAGCAGAGCGCAATTCGCGGCGCAATGCTGGAAAAGAACCCTGCGACTCCTTATTGAGCGACTTAGGCTCCTGACAGCTGGTCTTTTTGGCCCCCTTGCCATTTAACTTTCCCTCGTCCTCGGAGTCAGACGACTCCGAGGCTAGAGCCCCGTCCTCCTCCTTAGCATCCTTGTTCCCCTTGACGGACCCCTCTCGGGAGCTCCCTGACTGGGCCTGCTCAGATACCCTGCGTACTTTTGTAAGCTCTTGAGAGCTTTCTCCACAACCACCCTCGCTCTTAGTGTTGCTACCTAGCATGTTTCCCATTTTTTTAATATGTTACTAACCACGTGAGGCCCAAGGAATCCGCCACTTACGCGTGAGCCTGAGGGGAGTCTAAAAGCCCTGTAGGTGCACGCCACCCAGAGCCCAGGCTTATCCCCAACTCACCTGTCTCGCAGCTCTGTACTGGAGCGTTGTCCACTTCCACGTCTCGGGGGTGATCAGTCCCCGTACGGGCCACCAAATGTCGATGTCGCTTCTGGCCAGCAGGAAGGACACACGACAAAGTCTGGTAGCGGACAACCTTTTCTTTTTATTTTCCTTTTCCATATAGCCTGCCCTGGGACCGCTCCCAGCTGAAGCCTCCTCTGGTCCGCTCCCCGCGGCTCCTTTTGTGCTTTAGTCTGCCCCAAAGCCTCTACCGGTCCGCTCTCCGCGGCTCCTTTTGGGCTTCTACTTCTGGGCTTTTACCTGGCTTCTACTTCTCCCCAGGGGTGGCACCGGTATATATACGGATACAGTGTCCAATCATGTTAAAGTAAGCAAGGCAAGCTGATTGGCTAACATCATCAGTTGCTAGGCAGACTATATTGTTGAGCGGGCTGTTTACGCGGTAAGCAGGAAACTAACGTGCTCGATGGGAGGGGTAATCTACCTCAGGCTTTACTCTTTACTACAGGCCTCACGTCCGCCAAGTAAGGCGACTGGGCTCGGGGCTGCGGCTCCCAACATAGAAGGAAGTCCCCCTTATTTGCTATGGTCTACTTCCCAGGAGGCACTTAGATTTCTGGTTCCCATTAGCCCATTCCAGAAAGGGCTACCTGTTAAATTCTCATCAAAAAATGCCAAAATTTAGGCATTTGCATGGATATATACATGTGATATCCTTCTGAATGGAAAGGAATAGAGGTGTCATCTCTGAATTAAGAGCTGGTTTAGTAGCTTGGGTGTTAATAGACAGTTTAAATATGGAAATTCTCTACAATGAACATATCTAAGTGGTGTAAATAAGAAGCCCTAAACAGAATTTTTTCAGAAGAAGAGGGGTAGGGAAGTGGTATGTTTGATTCTAGGTGGTGCATCAGTAGGTTCACTATTGCTCATTAGGGAGACAGTCTGGTTGTTTGGTTTCACAGCGTCCTAAGTTCCAACATATCACAGATCTTAGGAGCTACTCCTGGTTATCCCCCTGGAAGGGCTGCAGTTTTCCATACTACCACTGCTCACCAGGGAGGTGAGGTACTTGCTTGGCTTCCCAATGTCCTAAATTCCAACATGGCATGGATCTCAGAATTTGCTGCTGGTTCTCCCCATGAAAGTGCCGCAGTCTGCCAGACTGCCACCGCTTACCAGGGAGAAGTGGTGCTTGCTTGGCTTCATAGTGTCCTAAATTCCAGCATGGCATGGATCTCAGGAGCTGCTGTTGGTTTTACCCCTAGAAGGGCTGCAGTCTGCCAAACCACCACCACTGACCATGGAGTGGAGGTGCTTACTTAGCTTCCCAGTCAATTGATGAGATATTTATATGCCTCTGTGCTTTGTGGTTGCTGGTCCTGCAGGCTTCTCACTGTGAGCTCTGCTTTAGAGAAAGTGCACAGGGAATCTTGCCATGACTCAGCACAAGAATCAGTGCTCCTATTTGGCTGTTACATTAGCAGTGAGTTTCAATCTAGCATCAAATTTGCTGTCTTTAAAAATGTGTATAGACAGAAAATTAATGACAAGACATGGATTTAAATTTGAACAAATCAGTTTTCATTCAGCTGTTTTGTTTGGCTTTATTTGTTTAGTTTAGTTTTGCTTTATTGAGACAAGCTTTCTGTATGTATATCAGGTGGATTTGAACACCCTATGGAGCCTAGAATTGCCCTGACCTCACTGATGCCTTCCTGTCTCTGCCTTTTGAGTGCTGGGATTATAGATATGCACCACCACACTTTGCTGTTGATTCAGATTTGTAGGAGAGAATTTAAGATATCCCAAACCTGGGGTCTCAACCTTCCTTTGAGAAATATATGTATGATCCTTTAGGAGGTGGTGACCTTTGAGGATGTGGTTGTGAACTTCAGCAATGAGGAGTGGAGTTTGCTGAGTCCATCCCAAAAGAACCTTTACAGAGATGTGATGGGTGAAATCTTTAGGAACATGGCTGCAATTGGTAAGGATGAAATCTTTTTGGCACTCATGCTGTCAGAATATTGTTTGTTGCTCATTAGTGCTGTTTCGTTAAAAAGAATATGAAAATATTTTTAAAAATAGCTCAGACCTGGACACATTATATCATAAATCTAAACAAAAATCTATTTGCATGTATTACTCAACTGAGTCGTGGTATTTCTATGTCTACAATTCAGGAGGACTTGGGGATATCCAGGAAGCTGAAAAAGGAGGCAAAATTTACTGGAGATACTTAAGGTAATTCCCACTCACAAGGAGAAGAATGTTCCTGAGTAATTAGTGAGTCAGCAGAAAAATGAACACCAAATAAATGAGGCACTATTCAATTTAATGTCAGTAATATTCTCCCAAGATGTATAAGCTAGTGTATATATGAGGGAATTAAATCATGAAAATGTATGACATTGCATATAGATGTGTACGAAAGGCATACACTTTGAGTTATGACATTCTGCCTTCAGTTTTTCTACCCATTTTTACATGTGAATACAACACATTCATTATCTAACAATTGCTAAGATTGCAATAGAATTTGAAATAAAACTGAGTGCTCATGTTTATAAGCCATGCTCTAGACAATCAGTGATTCTGATTAATATTCTTAGTAGACTGGTGGAATGTTAGTGCACTCATTTTGAATATCAGTATGCAGTTGTCTCTAAAAATTGATCCTCTCAGACTTGTCCTGGATATAAAATCTCAAAATCCGCATAAAATACTGATACATGCTTACTCATATATAAAGCAGATCAAGTTATAACATATGAGGCTTTGAAGCATATCTATCACTGGATTTGTGGAGAAGGAAAATGTTAATAGACTCTCTGTGATTGTGCATTCTTGTAAACCCAGCACACTAGAAATCAGATTTTGCAGAATGGCAAATTCAAGTTCAAACTTCACAGCTTAATGTTCAGTGAAAATCTCTTAAAATAGATATTTAAAAAGCTACAGATTTATGCTAATACCTGGTGTTCATTCCCAGCACAGAAAAGAAAAAAATGTGTTATATAATGTCAAAAAATAAATAATATAATGTCATTTTCCGTAAGAATTAGATGGGTCTTTCACCCATCAATTCAGTGAACTGGCTCAGCTATAAAACCTAAAAGGTCACAGGGTTTCTTTTAGATGAGAAACCAAAATACAAAATGTGGAATGAAATTAAACAGAGTTGTTAGAGAAAAGTAAGACTGACCGTATGGAAAAGGGAACTACAGGTTAAGGACAGAAGGGAGATTGTGATAGTGAAACATATGAGAATAATCTGCATGTGATACACATATGTACCCATGCCCAAAGTGAAGCTAAAGATTCTGCATTTCAAAGTACCAATTTTTAAGATTTCCAAATGTGTACCAGTCTTTTGGGAATGGTTGTTTTCAACATATCTTACAAGGCTATTCTGTTGCTTCATAGTCAGAATTTCTTAGCAGGCATTAAAAACAGAACTTGATATTAATGCAGTCATTACATGGAGACCCATTTCACTGTAAATTTTTCTTTTTTTAAATTTAATATAAGGAAAATTAAATTAGACAAAATAAGTAGAAATAATATTGCTTTCAAAGTGAAAATAAAGAGTAAGAAATCGCAAGATGATGATTACATATGCTGTTCGTAGAAATAGTTATGAAATACAAAAGTGAAACATATGAAGTGGAGATTCAAACAGTGAGAATGCAGTTTTGTTCAACTCTCCAAGAAAAACTTAGTAATATGCTTATAAATCCTATATGTGATTTTTTTTCTTTACAGAAATGACAAGCTAGGGAAATCTTATGGACATACATCTTGGAATCAGTGTAAAGAAGTATTCCTTTGTACTGCAGGAGGTAATGTGAATGTGAAAGAAACAGAAACATACCACAATGTTCAGATCTATGAAAAATATTGCAGTGGAGGGAAACCCTATGTATGCAAGCAATGCGGGAATGGTTTTACTACACATGGAATTTGTAAGAAACACGAAATAATTCACAGAGGAGAGAGACCCTACATATGTAAGGAGTGTGGGAAAGCTTTTACAACACATACATATTGTCAAGTAAATGAAAGTCTTCACTCTGGAGAAAAACTTTATGAATGTAAGCACTGTGAGAAAGCTTTCAGCACATGTACTTATTGTGTAATCCATGAAAAAATTCACACTGGGCAGAAATCGCATATATGTAAGAAATGTGGGAAAGCTTTTAGCAGGAAAATTCATTTTCAAATACATGAAAATGTTCACACTGGAGAGAAACCCTATGTGTGTAAGCAATGTGGAAAAGGTTTCACCCAACATGGACATTGTAAGGAACATGAAAGAATTCACACTGGAGAGAAACCATATGTATGTAAGCAATGTGGGAAAGCTTTTAATACACGGGGAGACTGTAATAAACATGAAAGAATTCACACTGGAGAGAAACCCTATGTATGTAAGCAATGTGGGAAAGCTTTTACCAGACCTGGATGTTGTAAGGAACATGAAAGAATTCACACTGGAGAGAAACCATATGTATGTAAGCAATGTGGGAAAGCTTTTAACACACGTGCAAGTTATAAGGTTCATGAAAGAATTCACACTGGAGAGAAACCATATGTATGTAAGCAATGTGGGAAAGCTTTTAACACACGTGCAAGTTATAAGGTTCATGAAAGAATTCATACTGGAGAGAAACCCTATGTATGTAAGCAATGTGGGAAAGCTTTTAACACATGGGGAGACTGTAAGAAACATGAAAGAATTCACACTGGAGAGAAACCATATGTATGTAAGCAATGTGGGAAAGCTTTTAACAAACGTGCAAATTGTAAGGTTCATGAAAGAATTCACACTGGAGAGAAACCATATGTATGTAAGCAATGTGGGAAAGCTTTTAAAACACATGGAGATTGTAAGAAACATGAAAGTTTACATTCAATATAAAACCAGTGTATATAAGCATCATGAGAATGGTTTCAGCACACATACATATTGCATAATGCATGAAAATCTTCACACTGGGCAGAAAACTAACATATGTAAGGAATGTGGGAAAGGTTTCAGCAGAAATGCTCATTGTCCAATACATTATAAAATTTACTTGCTTGAGAAACCCTGTGTATGTGAAGAATGTGGGAAAGCTTTCACCACATATGGATTTTTAAAAATACATCAATAAGTTCACACTGGTGAGAAAGCCTATATATATAACAATGTGGCAAAACTTTTACTGCATATAGTCATTGCAAAACACATGAATGAATTCAAACTGAGAAGAACCACTGCTATGTAAGCAAGTGGAGACACTTTCATCAGCCAGATTGTAAGTGAAATACATGAAAAAACTCACACAAGAGATAAATCCTATGTGTTATGGGAATACTCTCAGCATACTTGATCATTGTTACATATCTGAAAGAGCTCACTGGGCAGAGATGCTATGTGGATTAACAATGTGAGAAATATAGCAATCCATGTTTTTGTTAAATGCATAGAAAAAGCATCACTGTTCAGACATTTTAGATCTAAGTTTACTTTAAAAATTCCAAGGAGACCTGAAGAAATAATCAATACAGAAGTTAGATGTCAATATTTCTTCACAAATATTCCAGAAATGACAAATCTGAGGTGGAGCTCTACTCAATTGCATATGTTTTATGATTTTCAGTTAATCCCTTGTACCTCTCTAGATTTTTTAAAGTGTTTTTGTGCTTCAACATGGCATCTTGTAATTAAACATGCTAAACTGAAATGGGCTTTTCACTTTCAAGTATGGATAGGGCCTATGTACTTAATATTTTTTCTTTAAAACTTAAATTTTATATTTTTTGGTGAATTGTAATGTTTATTTAAAGATAAAAAAGTGTAGTAATAATATAGAATTTCAGAAAAATAAACCATAAGAAATCACTAGTTGATTAGTATCATATTGTCATCTTAGAAGTAGTTGTTCAAGTTACAAATTTAAAGCATACAAAGTGATATTCAAATAATGACACTGACAAAAGTTCACCTCAGTGATCCACCAAAAAGTTATTAATATGCCCATCTGTCCTACATACTTTTTTTTTCTTAAAAAGGGTAAGATTAAACATGGCAAAACAGAGCAGAACAGTTCATAAGGAAACACAGATTTCAAAACAAGTCCACTGGAAATGTTCACTGTCTATCTTACTGTCTCTAGTTTTCTTCCAAATAGTTGTTCCCATCTTCACACACATTGAATATATACTGAATATTATAGAACTAATCAAATAATTACAGGATGATGCAGGCTTTTTTGATCTTCAAGACTGATTTTCGGGAAGTTGATAATGACTACCATAATGTCTGTCATGGTCTTTGTAGTAGTTGTCTTTATCTTTATGTATGCTGAAATGGAACATAAGAGACTGGACTAATATCACTCTGAACAGTGAATAATAGTATCCTGAGAAGGAGAAAGGTGAGGAATTGCCTAAAAAAACAAGGCAGAGGACATTGTTAAAAGTGTATTAGGATTTAAAAGCTACAGTAGCCTTGCTGCTCTGTTTAGTTTGGTTATGTTTTGTTCTGGTCTGTCTACTCATATTAGATTTGAGGGCACAGAGAGATAACCCAAAAATAGCAGGTTATACCATGGTAATTATTCTTAATTTCCTATTAACTAAAACTGAATCCCTATATTACTTACATTGTCTTCTATGACTGATCTTCTTTGAAGCTGGATTGTTTGAATGTTATTTGGCCTTGACTGATTTTATTCACATTTGGTGTGCTTGCTGGTATCAAGTTCAAGAGAAGAGGCAACTACTGTGAAGATGACAAGATGTAAAAGATATCCATTGGTGGGCTGGGGATTTAGCTGAGTGGCTTAAGCACCTGCCTGGCATGTGTGAGGTCATGAGTTTGATCTCCAGAGCCAAAAAAATAAATAAGTAAGATATCCATTCCAGGTTTGATTATTTTTTTAATTAAAGAGACAAAAGAAAGGAAATAAAAAAAGCAGTTAAAGGGTACAAGTAATACAGAATTTCAAGAAAAAATACAGTAAGAAATCACAGTTAATAGGTTACATATTGTCATCTTAGAAACAGTTGTCCAAATTATAAAATTAAAGCATATAAAGTGGACATTCATACAGTGAGATTGCAGAAACATCTGTTCAGTGATCCAACAAAAGCTGAGTAATATGGTTTTCCATCCTACACACTCAAGCATGCAGTTATATCCCTTAGACCACCCTCTTTTCCTCTCTTTTTTACAATAACAATTACACATTTTGAGTTTTTTTTACTCCCACAGTTTGATTAAATTTTTTAGAAGACAATAAATCCTAACATGACTAAATCAAACAGAGTCAGTTAGAACAGAAGGATGGGCATAGTACATGATGCAAAAATAGAATATCAGATGATCAAAAATGGTTACCATTGTGCCTCTTGCTATTTTTAAAAAGAGTTGCTATATCATCAGGTATAATAGAATTGATCAAAACAGTACAGAACAAGACAAAGAAAACCTACACTGGAAACCTTGCAAGACTTCAAAAGAAGATAATAGTCAAACTATAATGGGCATCATAATTAATCTTATTGCCTTCAAAGTGGTTGCCTATACCCTCAAACTTGATACTATCATACAAAATAGAATATAGTAAATTCAGACAGAACAAGATGTGGATAGCAATATTGGCATTCAAATCAGGTTAATAGGAAAACAAATAGTTACTATAATATATCCTGCTATTTTTTAATTTAGTTTTCCCTTAATTGAAAAAAATTAAAAAATAGTTTAATTTTTAAAAAAGGGTGGAGATTGAGATAAAAGAGGACATTGTAATAGAACAACACTGGTCAGAAGGGAACAATTTAAGCATAATTATGTTTCACTCCCAGATAATCTAACATAATAGTCACCATAGTGCCTCATTCCTTGAATTATTTGAGTATAACTTCATATATGATAGCATCAAGCATATCAAGTGTGAAGCCATTCAACAGAATGAAAGTATTACAGGGTATTTAGAACCAGTTAACAGAAAATGAACAATGGTTTCTCTATTATCTCCTTGCCTATAAAATTTTTTCTTAATACTATCGCATATAGTAAAACATAGTAAGATACAACATGTTAAAAGCAGTGGAAACAGAGAGTTTGTGAGAGAGGGACCATTCTTGCACCACTGAGATTCAGCCCAGGGTTGATCATGTTGGTTAACTTTGAATATGCTGGTGATTTAACGTTGCAAACATTTAGTTGAACACTTTTGTGTATGTTTGGTAGGAATATTAGCCAACAGAGTGTTTTCATTTATATTATTTTTAACACATTATTGTCTGGCTTCATTCTCAGGATAACTTTAACTTTGTCACTTAAAAGAAGTTGGTGGTGGTTTTTCCTTCAACTTGATCAAAGAATTGAAAAACAATCAGTATTTATTCTTTATTATATACTGAATAAAATTCACCAGTGCACTTAGTGTATCCTAGCTTTGTTGTTGTTATTAAGCAGCTGTGATGTTTACCCATTGTCTGTGCTCCTTATTGCTCTGTTCATCAGACTATTTCCTCCTGATGCATGTGGTTCGGGGACATCAATGGACACCACATATCCATTAAAGGTCACATCTCATTTTACTTATGGATGCTACCATTTACTTTTGTATCTTCAAACTATCTCTATAATATATACTTATGTGAGTAACCCCTTTCAGTTACTCAGATTCAATGCACATTCTTGCATGGTGTGATTACTGCCAGAGGAAACTGGGCTTGGTGAGGGCCTGGTCTCTTATTTAAGGCTTCTTACCCTGACCTGCCTGCAGTGTCCCCAACTCCTGACCTGCTCCCTGTAAACACTTGTCCTGCTCCATAGCTACGGTGAGTCCACATGTGGCAGTTCAGATCTGTACCTAGGTGGAAAACATTCAGTCAAGTTGGGCTCTCTAAGAGACTGACCTCATACAGAGCTCCCCTGAGTGAGACAGGGGGCCTCAGGCATGTAGGGAGGAGCTCTGAAACCATTCCAGCTCTCTCCTGTCCAGTGTGGAGTGTGTGACACTTTCCTTAGAACTCACTGATGGATGAGGCAGCCTGGTCTGGGCCTTTTTTAGCCAAGATTCCTGCTAGGTGCTATGGTGTCCTGCTCCTCTGCCTGGACCATCTCTCTGACTTCAGATCTCCACAGAGATTTGAGCAGTCTCAGTCTTCCTCTACCAGGCTCTAACTCTATGCTGAGGATTCAGGTGAAATATCTGCGACTCCTAAATTCATCTTATATACATTTAACCTGGAAATTCCACTTTTATGGGTCATTATAAAAAATGAGATTGATAGACACCATATTCTCTTCTTAATCAGTTAAGGTGTGGACAGTTAGAAACCATGAATGTTCCACAGCACAGCTGCTGAGTTAATTATAAATTACAGCCACTGAAAAATGCTGAAAAAAGGCCATGTCCATGATCTTTCCTGAGATTGAAGAGAGTTTGTGTCCTGACACTGTCTCCACCCAGCAGTGAAGAGACACAGACCTGCACAGCAGTTGAGGACAGGAGAGAGAAGCTGGTCAATGGCAGACCTCTCATCCTGGGCGGGATGCCCTTGTGGTTTTTCCACTTTATTTTCCACTGCATTATTTACACTGTTCCATTCAATATTACTTCTTTTCTGTTCAATTCACTTAAGAATAAATAGTTGGTATTTTCTTAAATAGGTGAGTAGAAATGGATGACTTAATACTCTTCTATATGTAATGTAGGATACGCATATAGAAGAACATTCAATCTTCACTTTATAGATATATAAAATAAGGAGTCTTTTTATTCAGAAAGGCAACACATCATTCACGACTAACTTTTCAACCCCCAACACATGAAGCCGTGTGGATCCCGCTCTGGTGGGTGTCCTGCCCTCCCTACCTGAGAAGTCACTGTGTTCATCTCTGTCTTGTAGAGGACACCCAGAATCTTCTTCAGAGTTTCTTTTTCCAGCATGGAGGACTTGAATCTTCCTGTGCTCAGGCCAAGCAGGGAGTGTGCAGCATGCAGAGGAGCCCAGCACCTCCTGCCTTACACCCATTTCCACCACTGCATCCATGCTGCAGTCCTGCAGGCCCAATAAGGCAGAGCCACAAGGGTGCAGCAAAGACTCTGCCACCTCAGCCCAAGGGGCCTCAACTCCTGCGTCTGGGCCTCAGCCTCCACCAGGCTCCAGGCTCTGCC